ATCCTCATCGTAACCGGCATCATCATCAGCAGCAGCATCATCGCCATGAGCATCAGCAGCATCATCACCATCAGCATCGACATCCGCATAATCAGCAGCAGCAGCATTCTCATCAGCACCATCATCATCATCATCATCCTCATCATCATCCTCATCATCATCAGCATCATCATCAGCATCATCTGCATCATCACCCGCATCAACATCGTCACCATCGCCATCATCATCATCATCATCATCATCATCATCATCATCATCATCATTATTATCGGTATCATCGTCATCTGCATCATCATCGTCATCATCATCAGCATCACCATCATCAGCAACCTCATCATCATCGTCATCATCGTCATCAGCATTTGCATCATCATCAGCAGCAGAAGCAGAATCATCGTCATCAGCAGCATCGTCATCATCAACAGCAGCATCAGGAGCAGCAGCAGCATCGTCATCATCATCAGGAGCATCATCAGCATTACCATCATCATCAGCATAGTCATCATAATCAGCAGCAGCAGCATCATCGTCAGCAGCTTCGTCATCAGCAAAATCATCATCACCATCATCGTCAACGTCATCATCAGCATCATCATTATAATCAGCATCATCAGCATCAGCAGCATCATCATCAGCATCATCACCAGCATCATCATTAGGAGCAGCAGCATCAGCATCACCATCATCAGCAGCAGCAGCATCAGCACCAGCATCACCATCATCACCATCAGCATCATCGTCATCACCATCACTATCACCGTTGTCATCGTCATCATCATCAGCATCATCAGCATCATCATCATCCGCATCAGCATCATCATCATCATTATCACCACCATCAGCATCAGCAGCATCATCACCATCAGCATCATCTTCAGCACAATCAGCATCATCATCATGAACAGCATCATCAGCAGCATCATCAGCATCATCCTCAACGACAACAACAACAACAACAACAACAACAACAACAATCACTTTACCCGAACGCTCAGTGTTCTCACCAGTGCCAGGGTTTTCATGCGACGCCAGCCAATACCCCCACTTTGTGGGGGGGCAGTGCAAGCTCTACCAAATATCCACACGACTCTTCGCCACCACCCACACCCAGCTTCCCGCCCTATGACGTTCGGACACTTCACTTCGTGGCCTGCGGACGACCGTGGCTACTACACTGGCGTGGAGTACACACCCACAGAAGTTGTTAAGCCTACGTTCGTACACCCACAGAAGTTGTTAAGCCTTGTTAACCCACAGAAGTTGTTAAGCCTTCCACAGAACATCTGTTGCATATGATGCATATGGTACATGATACACATGATACACATGATACGTACTCACAAGATAGTTGATCACATCTTTAGGGCAAATTCCTGAGGGATGTGGGAATACACAAGAGAGAGAGGATATGGTTGTCCCGATGGTTGTCTCGATGGTTGTCCCGATGGTTGTCCTGATGGTTGTGGTTGTCCCGATCGTTGTATGATCGGTTGTCCTGAATTCCCCAATGGTTTTTGGAGATTTCGGCGTGCGCGCGCGAAGAAAAAACGAATGTGTCCCGCATGGTATTATTTGACAGGGATGATGGCCCTGGCAGGTGCGCAACCGTTGTCGCAGAAGTTCGAAAAAGTTGCTCGCAAAAGCCCGTTTGACAGAAATGTTTAAAAAGTGTTGGGTTTCCTACGAATCCGCAAGAGCGCGCGGGATGAGATTTTGACATTTTTTTGTTGAAAAACCATTGGTTTTTTGATGTTTTTATGTTAAAATCGCTCCGAACACTAAGCTTTTGGAAGGATTTCGTCTTGCGCGCGCGAATGTCCACTTTACCTTATTTTTTGCAAGGGATTCTTGAAATTTGATTATATTAGAACAAGAAATGTCATTTTATAGTGTTTTTTGCAAGGGAAAGCGGGGGGGAACAAAACAACCGGATCTTGATCACATCGAATTACCTGAGGCTTCCTCACGAAAATGATGAAAATGTAGCTGCGGCCTAGGCGGCGCAGGGGGCCGTGCACCAGGGGTCCCAACAATAATTATTCTTTAGAATTAATAATGTTCAACAACAACAACAACAACAACAACAACAACAACAACAACAACAACAACAACAACAACAACAACAACAACAACAATTACTATAACAACAGCAAAAGCAGCAGCATCGCCTCTGCCTCCTCATAGGCCAGCGGTCAGCTTGCCATGCTGTCGGGCCCAGTGTGCGTTGCCAGAACAAGCTGACATGCAGCGATTACAACGCCAGCCACCAGCTACCTCACCCTCCTCCATACTCATCCGTACACTTACTCTCCACCCTCCTTCTTCTCCTCCTCCTCCTCCTCCTCCTCCTCCTCCTCCTCCTCCTCCTCCTCCTCCACCTCCTCCTCCTCCTCCTCCCTCCTCCTCCTCCCCTCCTCCCCTCCCTCCCTCCCTCCCTCCCTCCCTCCCTCCCTCCCTCCCTCCTCCTCATTCCTTCCCCCCCTCCCTCCCTCCCTGCCTCCCCCCCCACTACTCTTCTTCCTCCTCATTCCCTCCTCCTCCTCCATCCTCCTCCTCCTCTCCTACTCTCCTCCTCCTCCTCCTCCCCTCCTCCTCCTCCTCCTCCTCCTCCTCCTCATCATCATCATCATCATCAGCGTCAGTAGCAGCTGAAGCAGAGCAGCATCATCAATCAGCATCATCATCATCATCAGCAGCAGCAGCAGATTCATCATCATCATCATCATCAATCATCTCATCATCATCATCATCATCATCATCATCATCATCATCATCATCACCATCACCATCATCATCATCATCATCATCATCATCATCATCATCATCATCATCATCACCACCATCATCATCATCATCATCATCATCATCATCATCATCATCATCCTACTCCTCCTCCTCGTCGTCATTGTCGTCATCATCATCATCATCAGCACCATCATCATCATCACCATCATCATCATCATCATCATCATCATCATCATCATCATCATTATCGTCATCAGCATCATCATCATCAGCATCAGCATCAGCACCATCATCAGCATCATCATCATCATCATTATCAACATCATCAGCATCAGCATCAGCATCAGCATCATCATCAGCATCATCATCAGGGTCGAGCCGCGGAACCTGGTCGGAGCGGAAACGGATAAGATCTCCAGCGAATCGCCTCGAATCGAATCGAGATCGGACCGCCGCGCGAAGCTCCGGCTGGCCCCA